TCTTAATGACTGTTGAAACTCTGTTGAAACTCTAATGAACAATTAATGTGTAACCTGTCGAAACTATGATGATTGGCAAAAACCCCAAATGCGAAACTCTGCCGAAACTCTAATAAACAATTAATGTGTAACCTGCTGAAACTCTGTCAATTGATTTCTGGAGGAGTTTCTCCCGCAACCTTATATATAACATAAAAAGAATAAGTTTGTAATACAGAAACGTTGTGCTTTATTGTTTGTTAAACATTATTGATTGGTGATTTTTTTACATTTTTGCCCCACCGATCACACAAAAATTCTCTCATTCATTCACGGATCGTCAATTAAAGATAATTTGAGATGTCTATCAAAGAATATAAACTTTTTTGAGACTGCAGGTCAAGAAGTCACATGAATTTTGTTTGAAGTGAATTTAGTAATTCATAAAACATCTATTTAACTTGATTCAATGAGACCTAATTCTCGAAGGTGCTTTGGGATAACTATGGGTCTTCATAATACCAAAACATCCAACTTTTTTTACAATTCTTTTTGAATTTGCTACAATTAATGCCGATCATTGCGGTATAATCGTGTAGTTATCCGCAAATTTAGTGAAACCTCTGAATATCTGCAAAAATTATGTGATTAAATAGAATATTAATATTTACAACTCTTACATTTTAAAAAGAACGTCTTCGTCTTCTTCTAATGTTTTAACTTCAACCTCGTCCAATTTAACAAGTGGCTCAAAATGAATTTCTTGTGAAGGAACTACTTCATCCTATTATATATCAGATAAATGCAAGTGCAATAATCGATTATATCTTTTTGGTATGGAAAGTTTGTCTATTAAACGCGTCAAATCAATCAAGCAATCTTACCTCTTCAACTTTCTTAGAAGATTCAGCGACTGGTTTAGTTTCAGCGTCAGTCGTGTCAGTCATATCTTTAAATAAAGATTTCTTTTAATAAAGTAGTTTGAGATATCAATCTAATTAGATAATAGTTGATTTTGTTTAATGTATGTGTAGATAAAATAATAAATAGGAAAATTTTTTTTTAATAGCACATGTGTATTACAATTTAGTCAAGAGTTACACTGATGAAATGACAAATATCGTAACTAGTACAACTTTGGAAATTATCTGCGGAAAATTACTAAAATGTAACACAATCCCAAACATCAATATCAACAATAAAAAACGAAATTCTTCATCATTACATGGTTTGGGAAATATATGTTTTAAATAGTAAATTTATCAACATTATAACAATAAGTGTTATATGTCAATTTTTTGATAATTATTAGTAGTATAATGAAGGCCGTTGTGGTATATCTAGTCTTATCACGTCCGAAAAATTTAAAACACGGAAAACACACTGAATATATATTAATATCAGATATGGGTGTAATTCATCGTTTTCCATAAAACTCCATACATTTTCAGTGCAAAAATACACGGAAAAGCATCCTTTTCTGGTAAAGCTCAGGGTGTTTATGTACAATTTCGCCGCAGAATCGTAAATTAATCTGTGAAGCAATATCATTATTAACACGTGTAATTAGAGCTCTTGAAGAGATAGCACCAGTACCATTA